GAAGCATTCATAGATTTCGTCACGAGTGAAAATGATGTATACACTGAATCTAGAGATTTTCAACACCAATTCCTATCTTTATTACTCATCCTTTATCGCGTAGAATCACTAGTAGTTATGGAACCGGGGTTTCACGTTTAAGCGATATTCAAATTAATGATTTGAACAGTTGTACATAAAAAAAGATTCAAAAATTGCTGCAGTTTACTTGTCTAATCCTATAATAGATGCTCAATTTACTGCCCCTAGTACATTGACGGGGTTGAGGCGAGAGATGACGAGCATTTACCGAATAGGGCTGACAAACTAGGATGCGAACACAACGGTCTAACGGTCAATTGCCGAGAGCGAGAGTGAATTACAGCATGATCGACTAGATTATAGTTGAAAAGGGGTTTGCTATGGTGGAACCTCTGGGGCATCTTAACAGTTTATTGGTCCAGCTCAATCCATCCCTCCAGGTTGCCATACCCTGGTAGGCGGTGCATTTACTTAACTTAACTCGTGGCCCCCAGCCTTGCAAACCCACAGGAAACGGGTACACGGAAACAACGGTGATTGGCTCGGATTCTCTCTGTACTGTCCAAGTCGAGGCGAAGAAATATCTATATATCTATCTCGTCGATGCTGCCAATGTCGATCTCTATCTGGCTTCACATCAACCCTCCAGCTTTAATACATAACGCGGGATCAAAATGTCTTTCTACAAGCTTTCTCTCGTTGCCGCCTTGGTTGGTGCTTCCGCCTCGGCCCAGACTCTCAACTCGACTTCGACCTGTGCCTGCTCCGCACTATCCAGTGTGAACAGCTCAGCTTTGCTATATCCTGGCTCGGATGCCTATGATGAGCAGATCACGGATTACTGGGACTTGCGGGCCGATCTTGTGCCCGCTTGCGTGTTCCTTCCGTACACTGCCGACCAAGTTGCGGGCGCTGTGTCTGCTATAACGGGTTGCAGCGCCCAATTTGCCATTCGGGGTGGAGGTCACATGAACGTCTGTTCCCCCTCTTCTACCTGCATTTGGTGCCGTAATAACTGACTATGTGCGCAGTATCCCGGCTCAAACAACATTGACGGGGGTGTTCTTCTGGCATTGAATCAGCTGACCGAGTTGGAGGTCTCGGAAGCTGACCTGACGTATTCCAGTGGTCCTGGAAATCGATGGGTAGATGTCTACACAGCTCTCCAAGAGTATGAGCTGTATGCCATTGGTGGCCGAATGAAGACAATTGGTGTGCCTGGACTTACGCTGATCGGGGGTTTCCATTACTTCATCAACAAGTACGGGTATGTTATGGATAATGTGCTCAGCTACGACGTAGTGCTCGGCAACGGAACTCAAGTCGTAGCCAACGCAACGTCTAACCCCGACCTTTTCTGGGCTCTCAAGGGCGGTGCGAACAACTACGGAATCGTTACCAAGTTCGTGTCAAACGCATACGCCATCCCCAAGCTCAGCACTACCATCCAAGAGTTCAACGACAGCGCTGTAGAGGCTTTTGTTGCAGCCACCTGCGATCTGGCTGCTAACGACGATGCATCCATTGCAGCTGGGTCAATCATCAGCATCACGTATAACGTTACCACGGGAGTGGCAACTCCATCTCTGCTTGGTGTTCAGGAGGGTACCGAATCACCGCCATCGCGATTTGCCAACTTTTCCGCTATTACTCCTGTATACCGATTGGATAACGTGACCACACCCGTTCAATGGCACTCGCAGCTCGATTCTCCATTCCAGGAGATGCGGTAGGTACTCCGTCATCAGCAAGTTCTCACGGGCGCAAGGGGCTAATCCACTCTCTCCACAGCGAGCAATTCGCTCACAAGACCATGACGCCCAATGCGACACGGATGTATGAAATTTATACGGCCTGGAAGGCGTCGCTTGCTGATATCAGCGATGTCGAGGGACTGTACCCTACGTTCGTCATGAACATCATGCCTCAAAGTGCTGCCGCGGTTGCGCAAAACAATGGAATTGGCAATGTCTGGGGTCTGACCGACAGCCAGTCCTACGTCAGTAAGTCGCCCCCCTTCCCCCCAATATTCAGGGAGGCTTGTTAGCTCTGAAAAGCAGAGGTGTGCTTCCATTATCAAGAGAACACTAATTAATCAATCTGCAGTCTGGCAATTGGCTACTGGTTGGTCTAACTCTGAGGACGACCTCCGAATGACCAACTGGGCGAAGAACTTTGTTGATTATCACCATTCTGTCAACCAGCAGCTTGGACTGTCCAGCGAGTTCATCTACATGGGCGATGCTGGTGAGTTCCAGAACCCCTTCTTGGGCTTCCCTGCAGAGAACGTAGCAAGAATGCGGGAGATTCGAGCTTCATATGACCCCAACGGCGTGTTTACTTCGTTGAACTGGGGTGGCTTCAAGCTGGGCGCCTAAGTTTGGGCGTCTAGGCGCAGTGGTGCCTTATAGAAGCTGGATCATTTTCGGCTATTTCGCTCCCGTTTTACTTATAGACTTTCTTCATTCACTCTTTTGTATTAGTTTTTTGTTAGTCTGTGAGAGAGATCTCATAAAATTAAATACAGACTAATTTCATAGCATGCAATTATATGCACCATTGACAATAACCTTGATTTACTAGTCGTTTAAGCGTTGAATCTGTGGCGTAAATGTAAGTATTGGGGGCACACAGAGTGAAAATGGGATTGTGGTGTGCTCCTCATTGCAGAGCAGAATGTAGGGTAGAGGTGAATAATCTATTAATGCATACTTACTTTTATCTTCAATGGTGCTTTATCAGTATATATAACTCGAGGTCATCATGCAAATATACCTGTAGCCCTTAAAAAACCCATGTGATCTCCCAGGAGCCTCAAAATCTGTCCTATTGACGTGTGCCACCATTCTCACAATGATACGATCGCTATACCTTCAAAAAGAAAAAGGTTCTTAGAAGTCTATTGAAAGTTTCCGTCTATGAGGTTTAAATATTATCACTAATATGCCGGATAGTACTAACTACCATAATAGAAAGTATTGTTAATATTCGTATCATCGTAAGACTATATACACTATCTCTCGTAACTTAGATATAGCTCAAAAGGTAATTGATCAAAAGGATACCATCCCCAGTATCATCGCTAATTTCGGATCAGGCAATATACGCATTCCTATCACTGAGCGCGATGGCTAGGGCACGAGTGCCGGGTTGGCCATTCTGGTTGACAAGTTCTGGATGTATAATGGCGGTACGGATGGGACAGTCCAGGTTTTACCGCCGTCGGTGGACTTGAAGAGCCAGGGACGAGATGTCATACTATTTGCCTGGCCTGAGACTGCATGGTTTCTTAGGAGGTAGAATGTACCGTCTACATCGGAGAAAAGCTGGGATTCGCCGCATGTCGGACCCCCAGTGATAAGCGGGTATTCGGCAGTGATATCGATCCAGGTTTGGCCGCGATCGAAGGAGTATGCCAGCAAGCATCCACCAAAGGACTGCAGACGAGGCAGCGGATAGAAGCAAGTTGTGACATAGACAAGATTATCGGGGTTCAGAGGGTTGATGGCGACCATATGCTGGCCCTTGTTGGTGTCGGTGGTGCGAGTTATTCCTAGGTCGCGATCTGGCAGCGGTGCATGCGAGTTGAAGTGGCGCGGAAGGCTGCCACCGGCCACGGCCCATCTATCGACATCGGGTATGCCTACAAACTTGAGCTGCGCGATGTTGTGTCCAAAAATCCCCAACCGCTGTAGGGAAATGATGCCGGGCAGCAAAGTGGAAAAGAAGGCAAATAAAATGAGCGCGGTGCCAGTCAAGACTTTCAAGGCGTGGAATACACAGCTCTTGTGGCGTTTCTGTTGTTCCATGCAGCCCCGGAACTCGTTTATGGGTAGTGCGCTGTCTTCATATTTTGTGTAGACCATCTTGCCGAATTGATAATGGAGACGATGGTTGCGGCGTGACGCCGGGTCGCGTTAAATCAATATCCTACACACGTTGGGGAGGGTCGTTAGATTTTGTATTTAAATGGTCAGGAAACTATTGTTATATATGAAATCCGCGTTCTCTCAGCCTTACGTCTTGAATTAGACATAATCGCATGGGTAAAATTATTCTGTCCAATCAAAATCACATCCGAACTTGTATATGTGGTTTGGGCCGGACCGTGTCTTTAGGTTGGAGCCTAGTAACGCAGGCAGCATTCAATGTTATTTAGGAAGACCAATGTTGCTCTGTAGTACCCCATTGCATTATCAGGCAAGGCGGCCACGTTTTTAGGACTTGCAAAACCAACAACCGGTGTGATGAAGGAGCGCCTCTCACAGTTTTAGCCCAAGTCGCTTGTCGGCCCGAGGTTTCTTCGTATTAACAAACCCAAGGCGTATGTATCTAGTATCTAGTTTGCCTAGCGGTTTCCTGTTTAACTGCGAATCCTGCCCCGGATTCAACAATTTCTGCAGTCCGCGCGGCCACAGGGACATTCTCGGCTTCGTGTTCTCGACTCAAGCCACAACAATGGATATGTCCCATGCAAACCGATCCTTGATTTCTTGTAGTCTAAAAAAAATTACAGCAAATAGAGTGGGGATTTGTCACTCCACAAAGCGTCGGAAGGGGTTGGCCAGTCAGAAGAGCTTGCGAAGTACGAACGAAGAGTGAGTTTTGGTGCGATAAGCCATATCGTAGCCACTGACTTGCTAGTTAGTTCCTGACACTCGCAAAGATCAAGTTTGGTACGTGAAAGCCAAAACAAGGAAGAAAAGAAACCTCAAGTACATCGCCGCCATCTTATGATCATGCGTCCCGATTTTTATACCCGGCTGTAATTATTACAATAAAGCTATGGCAGACATCAAGGCCATTGTGAAAGCAAGAAAGAAATCAAGTTAAGGCGCCGCCAAATCAATCACCACGCACTGATCCTGGAGTCACCTCTGCCGTGCCTCCCGAGGGATCCACATCCAGCACATATCCACTTAAGCTTCTTAGCTTGAAATAATTTGCCTGTAACTCAACCAATCACAAACCTAGTCAAATGCCCATTGGCGCAATCGGCAGCGCGTTCGACTGTTAACATGTCCGAAAGGCGGTTAATCGAGAGGTTGCAAGTTCGAACCTTGCATGGGCAGTTCATTTTTCTTTTTCTCGCCTGTGAAGTGTTATTTATCCCCATTGCGGTGGTCAATTCTTTTTTTTACATGTTGTTATCAACGTCAAGTATTATTTTGCGTGCACTGCAAGGACACAGTCTCCTAATGTTTTAGATGAGGCAGGCCCCTAGGCTTGACTACACTATATATATGTAATGGGCTTATTACCGTAGGTAGGCTAGGTTGCTGAATGTTAAGGGATCTTGGGTGGCTGTGATCGGGCTGAAATGGGACAGGGATGCCATACATGCCGTCCGACGGCACAGCGCCTCCGCCTCCCCACCGCTGCCTTGCACCTCTATATAATCAACTCTTGTACCCATTTTGCCCTGGCTTGCATTCTCTCGCAACCATGCTTCACACTTGTCACTCAATATGTCCATCGGACGCTCCTGGAGCGATCGACTAGGCAGAGGTCGCGCTTTATTTGGTCACGATATCGACGATGGCATGCTGCAGAGTTACGACAATCTTCATCGGGCTGGGGTGATGAAAGAAGGCCTTATCACCAGGGCGAAATACATATTATTCAGAAAGTACCCAAATCAGTCAAAGATTGAATCCAAGGCTCATCGGCAGCCCCAGTCGTGGCTTTTAGAACGGTTGCCTCTCGAGCTCCGAGAGCAAATTTACATGGATATCTGGCGCGATGCTGGTCTCACCCAGCACATTTTCATCCACCCCAAGGGAGGTTACACGCACTCTACCTGTGTGACTGATCATCATGCGCCGGATTCGCGCCAGGTAGAGATTGACCGCTTCTGGAGCTCGCGGGCGCCCTCGGGTGGGTTCCTCAAGGATGCCCTCTGGAACAGACGGCTGGGCTCTACGTGGTGCAATCACTGGAGTTGCGAGGAATTGGCAGTCAGCCATATCACGAACCCCAAACCCACCAGCCCATTTCTCCCGATGTTGCTTTCTTGCAGCATGATGTGAGTACCCCAAAACAAAGGACTTTTTCTTGTTTTTTTTTCTCTTTCCTGTGAAGAGTTTCATTTAGAGGTAACAAATGGGACTATCTCAGGTATATAGAGTGTCGCTATTCCATTTACAAGCACATCACTTTTGCATTCACGCGTTTCCAGACAGCTTTGGATTACCTCATTTTGCGAAAGAGCCCCGGTGCACTTGCGATGCAGAACATCTGCTTCTCCTTCCTCTTCCCCACAATTGGGGCCACCCCAGAGGACCAACGAAGCACCTGGAAGAGAGAGATCGCTCCATGGCAGCAGCTTTGTGCTGGTTTGACCCGATGCACACAACTACGCCGGGTCGATATCTGGGTTGATTCTCTGGATCACCGGTGCCGTAAGTTTCTAATGCGGAGCCCTGAGCTTTTCACTTTTGATTCACGTCTGTCGTCTATCATCACCATCAATCTTCCCGCCCGCGAAGCCAATGACTTGAGGCTATGGTCGGGCCATTTTTCGGTCATTAGGCGCGACTACCCCATTTATCATTGGTTTTGGGCGGAAGTAAGTACGTATGAGTGGGAACTAGTAGTACATAGGGGATTCGTTTGTGGTGGACGCCGCCGAATAGTTAGATGCATCTAGCTAGATTCAACTATACCCATCCTTGGCTCCTGCTATCCTACTTTCATTGGTGGTGAACTGTGCCATCCTCTTTAATGTTATGATTAGTTATGATTCACAATATGTTCAGTTATTAACCCCGGGGACGACAGCGCTTCCTCGATTACACTTTATTCCGGATGTAGAGGTCGTGTGATAAAGTAAGTATCGACATGAAAAAGTGGCGCCAAATGGTTTTTTTGGAATTCACGGTAATCATACACCTCTTTCCAAACCTCCATATTAGTAAACGTATCGAAAAGTAACTGCCCTGTCCCCTTCCGCAGCTAATCCTGCACGGCTCAACGCCGCATCGTCTCCGCCCGCTTCACGAAGCAGCCTCTGCCTCTTCTTGTTCGTCGCGGCGTACGACGCGAGCAGCACCAAGGCGGCGACGATGCCCACCGAGATGAACCCCAGCTCGAGGGCGTGTCCGAGGATGTAGCGCGGGCTGTCGACCTGGCGGTAGAAGTTGGAGGCCATGGCGCCGCCGAGGTTGCCCACGCCGATCTGGATGGCCATGCCCGCGCTGCGCTTGTAGCTACCAGCGAGGTTGTTGCTCAGCCAGGCGATGTTGCCCGGGAACGAAGGGTAAATAGCGCAGGCGGCCACGAAAACGCCGCCGTAGATGACGTGCGGGTCCTCCGACGAGATGCAGAGCGCGAACCCTACGATCATCATGAGCATGAAGCCGATGACAAAGGGGCTGCGCTTGCCCACGCGGTCCGATATGTATGCGAAGATGACAGCCAGAATCGCCGCCGTGCAGTATATGGGTACCGTCAGCAGTTGAGCGGTGCTCGATGTGTATCCTAGGTTTTTGATGATCGTGGGCAGAAATAAGCTGATACCATAGAGCGGGCAAACGATCTATTTCGACAAATAAACGTTGTGAGCATAAACTGATCAATAAAAAGGAAAACAAGGAAACTGTTTCACTTACTCCCCAGTAAACGAAAATATTAAGCCAGATGTGCCAGTCTCGAAACGCTTGCCAGACATACTCCCAGCGGAACTCATCCGCTTCAGCAATCTGCATCTGTCGGTTAGCCTCCTCACCCGCCACAGCTTTCTTCTGCTTGTCCTGGCCGTAGCGCAGGCGGAAGACGACAAAGGCACGCTCCTCCTCGGTAAGGAAGGTTGCAGTCTCGGGGAAGTCGTACAACAGGAAGAAAGAGGCGACAGCGACGAGCACGGTGACCATGCCCTCGAGGATGAAGATCCAGCGCCACCCGGCGAGTCCGCCTACTCCATCCATCTTGGAGATGGCGAAGGCCAACAGGCCGCTGAAGGCGCCCGCGATGGACGCCGCCGAGAAGAACATGGCTTGCCGGAGTTGGATCTCGTGGCGACAATACCACATGGTTAACTGTGAGGCAATCTGATCAGCACTAATTTCTCACTATAGTCTCCTCCTTTAGGCTTCCATTAGGGTCAAGCTCTCTGCAATGCATGTCAGTAAGGTTGGGCTCATCGGACTTGGCAGCCGAAGCTGGATCGGTGCGGCTGTACGCACTACATAATACTGATAATCTAACGGTCAGCCCAGAGCACGCTAATGGAGAGGCACTACACCATCACGGCTACTTACAGCACACCCAGGGTAAAGCCCGGCCTCAGCGACGCCCAGAAAGAGTCGCGCCGCTAGCAGTCCCTGGTAGCTTTGCACGATGCCCATCAACGTCATCACGGTGCCCCAAGCCACCATGATCAGCGGCAGCCAACGGCTGGGACGCAACTTCTTGAGCAGCAAGTTGCTCGGAACCTCAAAGGCAGCGTAGGTGAAAAAGAAGACAGTCAGGCATATATTGTACTGGTCGGCTTGCATGTTCAAATCTTCCTGAAGACCCTCGATCTTGGCATTTCCAATGTTCCCGCCTGAATATGCGTGGTCAGCTTTTCAGCCCAGCGAGCATACGGGGGTTTCAGTAACAACTCCCCGGGATTATTGCGGCTACTCACGGTCCAAGAAAGATAGAAGATAGAGTATAGCCAGCATGGGGATCAAGCGCATATCCATCTGCGATCAGTGATGAGTCGTGCGTTCTAGTTAGAAGATGCAGAAGTAAACACATACTTTGCGTGGGATCCTCTTCTCGTCGAGATGTGCAAACGTCTCCCAGGTATGGGACTCGGCTATGGCGTCAATTCTGCCAATCTCATCTTGTACGGGAGAATGACCACCATGGCGGGGTACATTCTCCCGCTCCGACACTTCTGCTTTCTCCCGAGTGGAGGGTGAGTCCATCTTAACAAACGAATTGTGAATTTCAAGGTGGGTAGAAATGAGCCGTGTTGCTTTGCAGCGAGGAAAGATCGAGAATCTAAGTATATAAATGTAGAGAAAATAAAAGAAAAAGAATTTACTTTGGAAGGCCGACGGTATGTCTTTCTCGCCGTTGTCACCACATATGTGGAGAATGGATGACAGGTAGTGAGAGTTTACCCCAACGCTAAATACCTACCGAAGTCTGGGGTCAAATCTGCCGAGACGCGGGGAAAGGGGGGGACGTCAGGGTCAATGTGATGAGTGCCGTGGCGAGCTGGTTAACCCCCCACACAACCGGAGCTGATAAACCTGGAAAGTCTAATGGGAAGTTAGCTGGCTATTTACTCCCCCTCTCGGATCGTCGTCTGTTGGTGGATGCTGTGGGAGGAACGTGCTGTAAGCCAAGATCACACGGCGCCATCTACGTCACCCTGGTTCCCACTAGATGTGACCGAATCAGAGCGACGGTAGAGGGATTGGAAAAGCTCGGTTATCTTGCGCAACGAGAGCAGATGCCCCCCAAGTGCCCCCCAAATGAAGAGATGATCGACTCGTAATTGATTCCATCGGGGTGGTTGCCCCCATTGACAGGACTACATCGTCCATCTGGATGGTCGCCTCAAACTGAACATGCTGTAGAACACTTTCGTTACGAAGTGCGTCACCATGTAACTGCATAACAGACATTGACCACGTAGAGATGCATTTCAACAATCGAAGTACTATTCTATACCGTGACTAGGTACATAGTTTAGCACCTTTCTCTTTGTCCGATAAGAGTCTAGGGCAATACTCGGTCTGATACTCAAGGTGACACCCAACCAGGGAAATCCTGACCTGATAATATCTAATAGAACAAGACATTAAGATAAATAAATAATTAAAATAGTAAGAGTCATATCTACGTCTATTCCGAATACAATTCGTTGAACAGGTGCATGAGCGTTCGTCACATCCAACCACCTATTGTCTCTTACTGTACGTAAGCCATCAGCTGCGGCTCGGCGGTGCTCTTATCCGGGTACGCAAGTATCTCAGCGAGCGCTATGGGGATGAGGGCGATGGTGGCCAGGGTATCGACCAGGGTAAGCCCCGGGGCGGCGTACTGCGCGCACACCGAGTTCAGGTCTATGCGC